CTCTAAGGCCTGGTCTACACTGGGGGGGTGGGGGGGTAATATGATCTAAGATACACAACTTCAGCTACGAGAATATCTTAGATCAACTTAGAATCACTTACTTCGCGTCCTCGCGGCTCGGGATCGACGACCACTGCTCCCCCATCGACTCCGCTTCCTCCTCTCACCGTGGTGGAGTTCCAGAGTCGACGGCAGAGTGATTGGGGATCGATTTATCGTGTCTACACTAGACGCGATAAATGGATCCCCGATAGATCAATCACTACCTGCCGATCCAGACATGGCCTAAGTATAGTGACTGTTAAATTAGCCTGGTAAGTAGAAAATGATTTCAGCCCTACCTTAATTTAGGCTGTTCTGCTATGCTGTGTGGCTTTCTGTAATGTGTTCTTAACCAACGTCTCCAGAATACAAGTATGTTCACCTTAATTTGTTCAACATTACTACTACTTGAGGAGGAAACTTTCCATTACTTCAAGTGAAATCACTTGGATGCAATATTTTACCTGCATGTTATGTATTTCATATGGTGCTCTCTGACCCTGATGTTCTCAAACACTCTAGTAGTTGCAATATTCTGACCATACAAAAAAGAAGACTCCAGTCTGAACTACAAATCTTGGTATCTCTCATCCGGAAATGTTATTTTTCACTTCTCATTATGTGAAGAAAGAGTTAGCAGTCACTGTCTTATTGGAGATAAACAAACTTGGAAAAACATGAAGTAATAATACAATAGATACTGAAGTAGATTTCAAAAGTTTTCATTATTTTCTGTATAGTTTATCACACCCTTCTATTTACCAGCTACAAATCTGATAACAAAGCATGCTCTCTTTCAAATGTCAAATTATCTCCAGGACATGATTTTTTCAAAGTTCCCTCTTTAGCAAAGCAATATTCATCATAATGTTCTGAATGCTAAATCTTCTAAAACATTGACTTTTCACTTTAGGCCCAATCCCACACCATGCGGTACACAGGCAGAATGCTGTGCCCCTACAGAGCACTGTTGACTTCAACGGGACTACTCTCAGTTAAAGATGTCTGTCTTTTCAGGATCAGGGCTGTGATTGGCTGTACTCCTCACGCTGGCTCTGAAAGAGCTGAATTAGGCCAGGTGGGCTCAATCAGCCAATTAAGCTGCAAATGGGAGATTTAGGCTGTATGAAGGACACTATTTAGGAAAGATGCTCACCTGTGAAGGAATAGGCAACACTTTTGTAGAGCCAGGAGGTTGGCAACAGTTGCAGACATCCTAGAGGAAACTTGTAGTCTCTCTCCCTGAGATAAGGGAAAAGGAAGGGGAGATAGGAACCTAGGAGGAAAGGGCTAGAAACCTAGGAGGAAAGGGTTACCTAGTAGGCCTTAGAGAGAGGGATGGAGAATGAAAAGCTTGGAAAAGCACAACAGGAACTAGTAAAGGGGCAAGAGCAGTAAGGAGGATATAGCCATAGACCTTAACTGCTCACCGTTGGGCCCTGGCCTGGAATCCAGCGTAGAGGGCAGGCCTTGGTTCCTCTACCATCCATTGCCGAGTGGTACTGCTAAGGGCAGTGAACAGGAAGATTTGCCTGAATCACTGCAGGTGTGACTTAAGCAGGAAAGTGGGTGTGAGAACGGCCTGACACTGCCAGCGCAGAAGGATTTTGAGAGACTCCCCCGGAAGGGGAAATCAAAGTGTGACCTGACTAGAGGGCCGAGTCCCAAAGCAGCCATCCTGCAACGCTGTGAGCGGGAGGAGAGCAGCAACAGTGGGAGAGGAGAAAAGGGGTGCTGAACCAGAAGCAGGCATCGAAGAGCACCCTGTAACAGGGTATTAGACTGTGAGATCCTTGGGGCAGGTAACATGTCTAGAACAGTCTGGGGTGCTGTTGAACCAAAGAATAATAGCAACATCCAGGTTGAAAAATATGGTACTGAACATTGCAAAAATGTATTTAGGACTATCACTCAGCCAAGTACTTAAGGGAGCAAAGCGACAAAGAAATCATTAAAAACATGTGAATTATTAATAACTTAATATAGTTAGTATTTAAAAAACACCAAAAGCCATGGTAATACTGCCAAGGCAAGTTATAATCCATATAGTAATATCTTCCAAACAAATTGCTGATGCATAAAGATAATATCATCACTGTGTAACTGGATGACTGACTTTAGGACTCCTGTTTGGTATAGTTCCTGACACAAAAGATAGATAGGAAATAGTTTCCAACATCAAATTGTCATACTGTTGTTTAAAAGCTGACATAAATTGACTTAATATGCAGTGGCTCTCTGGCTTCTGTCTCCATGAAAAAACAGTCTTGAACAGTTAACAATTCTCAAATGGATGTTTTACAATTGATAAGTAACAAATTAACCTTTAACAAATAGCTTCTCAAAGAACAAGGGTAAATGACACTTGGTCAAAACACATTTTAATGAAAATCTAAGAGTACCCAAGAAAATCTAATTTTGCCCTTCTGCACATATGTTGTATACCCTTGTTTTCTTGCTGATCTGTCCGTTTGTCACTGGGTGCACATTTTCCACATGACATGTTGCTATTTGAGCAAGGAAAAAAATACAGTTGCAGAACTCTCATTTTGTGACATTTCAATTTCTGGACAGTTTGCTATTGCAACAATAGGTTATTAAGTGGAACACTTACTTTTCTGTCTACATTGCTACAGGTGTTATAGTAAGTATGTGATTTTTAACCACTCCTAAAATGAAAAACTATACGTCTCAAGCAGGACTTCCTTCCACAAAAACTACCAGGTTTGAATTAAAACCCATCAATTGTAAAATTGACAAGGAACAGTCATGCATTTCTCCTCAAACAAACAAAGCCCTTTCCTTTTCAGGAGTGTTTGTTTCTTGGACTTTCATATTGAATTGTTCTCATTAAAATATATGAAAGGAATTATGCATCCAGTGCTGAGTAAGTTTTATGTCTCATCCCTCCCATGTATTTTAATGAGAAAATAATAAATATCAAAATTAAACATGAGCAAACCAATTAAGGAAATGTAAAACTCCTCCCAAACTTTACCCATTCCCAACCCCAAGCTGTGATGAATTAACAGCTCAACCAAGTACCTCAACTAGGTACTAAGCACATTCCTATTTAAGCCACTGTGGCTTGCAGGTGCTGTGAGGAAGGCAAAGAACTTCCCCGTCCTCTGCCAGTTGGCCCATGGGCGAAAAAATTCCTTCCTGACTCATGGTTCAGGTGAGTAAGGTGGGCTGCTGGAACAGAGTTGAAAGAGGCTCCACATGGCCCCTGCCCTAAGTTAAATCCTACGAGCTGGGGAATGCTGGCCCGTGGGTTCCAGAGATTTCTAGGGGCTGCGGAGCTACCTGGTGTCCCTCAGCAAGTGTCTCCCTCCCTTGTTGCTAGGGCTGTCCCTTTCACGGCCAGCCCTATCATCAAGTTCCCCTACCTGTTGAGAGGTGTGGGTAGCATTTAGCGAAACCTCAGCATGAGCGCTGGTAGTAATGTTATAAAAAATCATCTTACTTCAATGGGGATGGGACAGAGAAAGGGTTGGAAAGAGGTTAAGGGCTTTATAGTGGCATTATATAAAGAAAAGTTGACCTAAAACATATAGTCTTGCCACTGCTTTTAATTCTGGAACAATTAACTTAAGTTGACCATTTTGAAGTGTTAACTGATTGCTTCTGGACAGGTAACATCTGTAACTGACTCTCTTTTTATACAAACCTTCCCAGTATTTTTGTCCAAATACAACCCCACACAATTATGCCCCTATGGGTATTACTCAGCACTGTCCCCACAGTGGAATTCACACCTTTCATAATTCATGAATTACAGGTGGCAAAATCTGTCTGTAAACCTTAACAAAGGTTTCTATTTTATAGTTGTTATCTCCGTCACTTAAATAATTACTAAGTTGGCATGTGCGTTGTTTTGCGTTTTTGTTTTGTTTTTTGTTTTAATTAGGTAATTCCATTTTAGCAGAGACTATCACAAAACAACAAGGAATAAAATTTTCATTTTTGTCTAACGTACCCCAGCAGGACCATGGAAAACCTATGTCAAGTCTTAATAACTGCAATGTTAATTAGATTTTACAGGAAAACAGCCTATAGCAAAATCAAAGAGAAGATCTGAATATGTTTCGATAAAGCACGTTCCTTGCACTGGACTGTGTGCATAACTGAGAACCTGAGGTGTCATGAGAAGATCCTCATGGTGCTTTCTTGAAATTCACATATAAGCACATCTCTTAATAATACACATCTCTGTAAGATCACAGATCGATAATATTTTCTGCATTTTTACATTTTATAGGATCTTAAATAATACTGACTCTTATCATAACACACCATTAATACTCTGATGTTTATTTTTCCAAGTTTGGCTCAACCTCTATGCAACGAGGTCAATCAAATAACCTTCTTACTATTTAAATAGAACAGGCATTTTAACAATCCCACATTCAAACTGCAAAAACATTCCAGCATTGAACACTGCATTCCACTGAAAGCTAAAGTGTGACAGATGCCTTCACAGTAATTGCCAATCAGCCTCTACACAGCAGCTGAAAACACAATACATCACTTTGATCTCCTCAGCTCTCAATGTATTCACAATCAAGAAATCTGCGTGACGAATATGAAATCTGCATCATTTCCAAAAACTGTCTCCATGGAACTTAAATATGATAATGTACACTTTGTTCCTAGTCTATGTTATTTCAGATCCTTAGATTACCTATTATATATATAAAACAGTACACTACCCCTTGTAAAAAATGTAAGATAAAGCATGCATTGTGTTTGAACACATTTATTTCCACTACGTAGTACAGCTGAAATAATTATTTTTAAACATCTAAATTGTTGCAAGGATGGGAGAGGAAGAGATGCTCACAAACATGCTGAATGAAATCTACTGCTAATTTTCAATTATACTTCTGGGGTGGGAGAAAGCATGTGAAAAGTTTGTCTGATTTTAAAAAATATACTGTGTGAAGATGTTGACTTACATTTGGCAGGCAGGTCATATCCACAAGTAATTTTAGCTTGTCCAGTCTCACAGCCACACAAATTGCGACATTCAGCAACTAGGCAGGGCCCAGCAGCTCTGTGTATACAGCCATCCACTACAAAAACAAAACAAATGGATTAAATGTTAACTAATATGTTATATTTATATGGGTATGTGAATACAAACAGATATTTACTGCAGATTTAATGTGTATAGTGTGTGTATGCATGCATACCCATGAGTATATGCATATGTATATTTATTACACATGTATACAGGTGTACAATAATATTTTGTACAATAAAATATTCTTGGCGAATAACACTTAATCAGTCAGCCAGCCATTGAGTGGGAAAGAAAATGCAGTAGAAAAAGCAAAGCATATTTCAAAATGTTATTACTGCTATTTATAAAAAGAGTAACAGGAACATCTAGCCAAGGCTCCAGGCCACAAGTTACAAGTTGATCACCCACAGACCATCATACTCCCCTCTACTGCACACATCTGATTTCTCTCATATTATATAGTCCAGGGATCGGCAACCTTTGGCACGCGGCTCATCAGGGAAATCCGCTGGCAGGCCGGGACAGTTGGTTTACCTGCAACGTCCACAGGTTTGGCTGATCGCAGCTCCCACTGGCTGCGGTTCACCGTTCCAGGCCAAGGGGGCTGCGGGAAGCGGTGCAGGCTGAGGGATGTGCTGGCCGCTGCTTCCCGCAGACCCCTTTGGTGTGGAACGGCGAACCGTGGCCAGTGGGAGCCACAATCGGCCGAACCTGCGGACGCTACAGATAAACAAACTGTCTCGGCCCGCCAGCAGATTTCCCTGATGGGTCGTGTGCCAAAGGTTGCTGATCCCTGAGATAGACTATTCAATCTCACTGGACTACTCAGTACCTGCATAACATAAAATCCCAAGAAGTAATGTTCATCGATTTGAAAATTACAATAGTTATCTTGTTTTGACACTTTTTTACATTTGTGCAATACTCAAAAGTTAATTAAATCATAATTACAGAAGATTGCAATTGCAGCTAAGTATGCAAGAAAACTAGTACGGTTCATAGATCTCACTGCCCCCAAGAGTCAGCAATAAGAATCTCAGCAGTAGCAGAATAGTAAAAATACAGGCACAGCATTTTTGCCATCTCAACAAGCAATCAAAGAAATCACATTGTAATTAGCGAACGGAGTACAGGAAAGGACAGTACAAAATAAGGGAAACGTTAATTGAATCAAAGAAGTAGTTACCATGTGACATTAACTCAGCAGCAGTGTCAAACTCCCATCAAAAGAAAACTGCAGAGCCACCATTGCTGGTGAAATGTTTCCCATATAGGTTCAGATGTGATGTTAACACAAAAAATAAATAAATAAAAGTAGAATAAGCCAAAATATAGGTGTACACATATTTAGACACACACAAAGTAAAAATGTATTACATATGTACTATACAGTTGTTTCATTCATATTTAACCAGTTAAAAGTTTAAGGGTCTCAGGGATAGCAGGTTTGGTGGCACTGTTCTATGCAATGATGAAGAGCAAGAGAGGGACAGGATTTCAAGAGCTTGCACAGGAGATGAATACATTCTAGTCTCTGTGCAGTTCTTGGAGCTTCCCGCATGGTGTCATATGGTGGCATGGCAGGGCTAGACTGGCTGGATATGTCACTGTGCAGAGCCACTGACTGTTCATTCTTCAACCCCTTGAAGCCAGGATACAAGAGCTTGGGGAACTCTTGAAACCCTGAATGGAAGATTTCTTCCTCCAGCACACTGCTAGGATACATTCTGTATTCAGATTGTTTGTGAAGAGTGTGGACTTGCTTCTCACGCTGTTGAACATCTCCATAAGGTGCTGAATGCCCACAACCCTAATGAAGTTAGATCAAGTTGAGGGCAGTTAATATCCTTGCAAGACTGAGCCCTTACTGCATTTTAGAATTTTGATTGCTCTCTTTGACGTGCTTTATGCCTGTGTTACTATTCAGACAGCCCTGATAAAACTGTATACATGATTCCTTTTAATCCATCCTGAACATACGCAATAAAATTTCCAACACGTCATTCTGAAGAGTTTTATCCTAATCAATGAAAGAGAATTCAAGAATTCTGTTTTGTAACATTTCCATTGAAATGTTCCGCACTTGTCTCATTCAAAACAATATCTATAAAATGTGTGTCAAAAATGCCTCCAGCCATAAGCAAGTTGTGTGCTACTTATCATAATACTGGGTAATTACTGATCCATTGTCCAGCTATCTTGGAAAAAGGACAGGAGACACTGGATGTAGTTTAATTAGGTTGAAACTTTATTCTAAAATGTCTGGGAGTAACCGGCAGATAAAAGTGTACAGTGTACAGGTAATTCTGTAATCATCTGAGGGGGGCTTCTATCAGCCCTTCCCCTTACCCATCCAGGTCCCCAGCCAAACCACTGCTGGGACCTCACCAGCCCCCCTACTCGAATGAAGATTAATGGGGGGGGGCTATAAAGGATGGGGTATTGGCTCTCTGCCGTACTAGTCACAGGAGCCTTTTTATGCTCCTTTAAAGAGTATTTCCTTTAAATCCTTTACCAATCCATTGTAGGTACCTCCCCTACAGAGTACCTGCACTGGATATCCACCCCACATTTACAAAATGAGCTGTAACATCATAGCCTAACTCCTGTTTTACATTCGCCCCAGCTAAGCCCCTTCCAAACCCACTGTGGGGACAAAACCTGGCATTTCAACAATTCTGTGGGTGAGAGGGTGGGTGCTACTTCACATAGTCCAGATAAAAGAGGGATTGGCTTTTCCTGAACCAGTATGGACCTGTACAGTCCCTCCTCTTTTCCGATCACCTGGGGGAGATGTGACCAGGTCAGCTTGGCGACGCTAGCCCCAACTGCAGCAGAAAGTCACTCCCTGGCTCTCTAGCCCTTAAAGGGGTGCACACATTTTCCAACAAGCCAGACAACAGCCCCCCACTGCTTAATGTGCAGTGAGTTCATTACCAATTATAGTCGCACATAATACAAGGCTCCCTACTCCCTAGATAACCTAAAAATGGCATTTGAAATGCATTTAAAACCTCCATTCAGTTGACTGAGATGCTAATATAAAAATTTAAGTTTCTAACCTGTGGGGAGTGGGAAAACTCTTCAGATGTTTCCAGCATTCATATTAACTCTATTTAATTGAGGGACTTTCCCAATCCAAGGATAAGTAGAACCAATACACCTTGTGACCTCAAACATTTTTTGTAAAAAAAAAAAAAAAAAAAAATTTTTTTACAACATTAAAGCGTCATCAACTATCAAGATAAAATACTATTCTGAATTATTAATCCTTTCCAGTATTATGCCCTGATTCACAAAGGCCCCTAAATTCACTTGGCACCTACGTTTCCAAAGTAAAAGTTCCCTAGGTGCCTATGTTTCAGCCTCTGGGTGTGCACACTGCTGCATCTCTCTGGGCATCTGGATGCCTCTCTCTCACCTAAAACCAACAGTGATTCACGAACCAGGGAAGATAAGCATTTGCCTGCCTAAGGCATGAGCAGGACCTGATCCAGTTAGGCATGCTCAGAGGTCACCTATCAGATTTGGTCCCATTCAGAATCCAGTTGGAGGAGGAAGTGGAGTGTATGCCCACCTTATCACTTTTAGCCCAGTGGTTAGATCTCTTGTCTGGGATGTGAGACACCTTGGTTCAATTCCCCCCTCTCTGCCAGAGGGAACGCACAGATGTGAACAGGGGTGAGATACCTGTCAGGAGAGTGTTCTAACCATTGACCTATGGGATATACTGATATGAGGTTCCCTCATTCACTCCTACTGAAGCTGTTTCACTGTGGATAAATAATAGAAAAGTGGTTGAAACAGGGGGATTGGACTCCAGGGTCTCCAACCTCCCAGCAGGGTGCCCTCACCACTAGATTACAAAATCATTCTCACTTACACTTGCTCTCTCTCTGGATAACCATCATTGGGATAAATGGAATCTGCAAATTTTATATAATTTCTAGGTGAGCTTCCTTTTTACATATAACACCATAAAGAATTATTTGAACAGTTACTACTGCTGCATTAAAAATCATCATGCTCAGTAGAAAATGTGAATAATGCAAATCATCATTTACAATTAGATGTCGGTATATCTTTAGTAAGATAATATTCTGTAAGCTTAAAAATAATGTGTGATAATTCTCATTGCAAAAATATATGCCATGAAGCGTACTGCCAAAATGAGAACACACTGCATAATATAAAATATCTGGCAAAGACAAGAGTGGCTCGGTAAATTTGAATGTGATACTTCAGCTGCTGTTAAAACACGTCTTAGCTATTTTAATTCAAAAATCATGTACAGGGCATGCAGCGAAGATTTATATGAGATATTTCATTTTCTCCAGGAGTGTGCTGACTGGCAATGTAAGCTAGAGTGAAGTAAGTATTGTTAGCATAACTTAACAAAAATTTATAAATAATGGTGACAAGTCAGGAGGGGAAAAAAAAGATGGCCAAAGATATACTGTTATTGTATAGTAATGGAGGAAGAAATTTACATGATATTATTGGCATACTGCCATATTACTTTTTTATAAAAAGATGAAGACTCTTCAACATATTGGTTTAAGACACTTCAGCTGTATGATCAGTTTGATCTATAGCTGATCTGCATTCCTGGAACAGATTTGTTTCACTCGTTTGGAAAATATTAACCATTCACCACTGTTTCTCTCCTAGAATCCTTGTATACAACTAATTGTAAAAATACAGATAATTAGGATTAAATCTGATCTAATTTGTATCATGTGACAAAGATAAATAATCACAAAGAGTCACTTTCTTCTAACAGTGAACAAAAGCTTCATTAGAATAAGGAGAACAGTGTTATTCCTAAAGGTATTCTGTCTCTTTCTGTGCTTCACTGGCGAGCTTCTGCATAGCACTTTCCTTAGGCACCTCCAGTTGGCTTCCTGCAACAGATTTAAGGAAACAGTGCACATAATGATACTGACTGCCTTTGTAAAGCACTTGGCAATCTATTGATGAAAAGTGCTAAATAAGAATGAGGTATTATAATCCCGACCCATAATCTCCAAATTATCATATGGATGAAGA